AGTTTCCAAAGAAAGGATATATTCTTTTACTGTAGGTTGTCTTGAAAAGTCATTTCAACGAAGGTGGGGCCGCACAACTGAAGTTTGATATTCACAAAAACTTGTTTGTCCTGTTTGGTCAGTTCACAGCTAAACCTGAAAACTATTTTAGAAAGTAAGTACTCAGGAAAATTATTTTAAAATGAAGATGACGCTACACCGAGTTACTCCACACAAGGCAAGTTGAGAAATTGCTTGACGGAGGTGGGAATCGAACCCTGTTTTACCAACTTAAACATATTAACAATACGTAAGGAATGTTGCTCGAATGCTATTTTTCTTACAGACTAAAGGAGGCGATTATTTTGTTAAATCTGATGCCAGGATCAGCAGTGCTCTTGAAGGAGACTATGGGAGAGAACAAACGTAAACCAAATAAGGAGACGTCACGTGATGCTCTGGATGAGTTAGGTGTATATACATTGTCACTGAATGAAGTACTAAATGTCTTAAATTCCAGAATTAATTGGACAAAATAAAGGTAAGAGCAATCTGATCCAATTACAGCCTCCGCAAGTATGGGATAAATTGAGGCACAGAATTTTGTTCCAGGCAAAAAAAACCCATGAGATACCAGCGGAGCAGACTGATCCAATTATGTTTGCAATTCTAATGACAATATTGTGTCCATTGCAAATTATTGGAACGAATTATTGGAGACGCTTTTCTAGCCTCCGCAGGCAACTCTCTGACAAAGAATGGAAGTTTGATGAGTGATCAGCTCGCGCTCGCAAAGGGCTTTAACCACAAAAGTTGCACAATTTACGATCAGACAATAAAAAAAGGCAGACACGGACATCAAAGAGAACAACTTTCTTATCTTGATTTTAGTAGATTAATTAAATGATTGTACAGAAATATATAGAATAATAATGTATTTATTAATATCTAATACAGTAATTAAATCAAATCAATTAAGTCAATATATGATCCAAAGGAAAAATTGTAACAAAATCATGTCCAAATTTAAAATCCATTCCGTTCTGTTCCAGTGTGCTATGCAGATCACATACAGTTTTCAATACATTCTCTAACAATTGGACAGTCCACTAACATTTTCATGCCCAAATCTACCTTAAAACCTTTTGTCAACAAAATAGCTAGTGGTATCACCCTGTCTACATAGCCTGCTTTCAACACATGCTCAGATACATCTGCTTCCACCATGTTTAAATTAAGCACATCTTGTCGATAAATTGATTTCAATAAACACTCCTTTGCTACCTCGCTGCTAATGTTACTAAACTGAGTGACAATCCTAACACCTCTCTCGAAAAGCTTTCTATTGGTTAGTTTTAAATCTATCATACAATTCTTGTAGACTTTGCCCTTTAGAATATGTGCGCCTGTCGAGACAGCATTTATGACCCACTTAAAAGAGACCTCTGTTGTGCACTGGTCTAGAAATTTGTAGAATTGCTTGTTGCTATTCTGTTCTCTGCCTGTACTTGGTAAAACTATGTTTATTGTAAGTGAATCACCGAATATATCATGTATCTGCCAATTATCATTATTACTATTAACAGCTATAATGGCTATATTACTTTTTCGACTCTTAACTAATTCTACAATTCTGCGTAATCCTAGTTTCTGCTCTGATGATAAATCTTGAACTATAAAGATAACTGTATCAATCTTAGAAAGCTTAGGACCTCTCTTTTCTATGAAATTATCAAAACCAATCTCTAGTGCTTCTCCCTGGGATGACAAATTTCCCTGAGCATTTCTTAGAATTTTATAACCACTTTCCAGGAAGCATCTTACATCGTCATGGTTTGCACCAAACGTTGGCACACATTCGGCTGCATCGATCATGCCCATAATTCCTAGTGAACCCCAGCCTATGTATGATACAGATCCACCCTTAACGAGGCTATTACCAGCCATTTTAATTAGTGATGAGATTTCAGCATCTTTGGTGTGCGTCAAATTGAGAGTTATCAGGTATGTTTTGATGATGTCATCATAAGGAATAGGTGTTGCTTCGTTAGCAGCTTTTTGATGTGCCGTAAGGAATATGGCTTCTAACAGCATCTTGGTCGTAGTACCACCTTTCATTCTTGACGAACCAGTGATTGGTTCAGGACCCACAACAGGGTTGAGCAAACGACCTTTGGCTACAAAAGACATCAAAGATTGTTGGTAAAGTCACAAAATGGAACCGTAATCGGTAAAATAAGGGAGGGCTCATTGCTAAAATTTTTTAAAAGAGTTTTTATCAAACACTTCTGCTATTCCAGTTGTCTTAGAAAAATAGTACTTTACAAATATATATCCCAAGTGAGGGGATAAGTGGGGCAACCACATTCTTTTTGGTAAAAATAGGCTCTCAACCCCCTAAATATTTGTGAGGATTGTATTTGTAATCTTATATTTATTTGCTCCTATAAGCATTCAGAGTTCTGAAGTTGACTAGTTACTCCACCTTCCATTTCCAAAGCTACATCCAACATGACTTTATCAGTTCCACGGATCGCTGCACTCCGGGCTTGATTTGTAGGATTGAATCCGAGTAAGTAAGGTGTAAACTTCTGCAGGTGTTGCAGGCAATATTCGACTTGCCCACCTACAAAAGGTGCGGACAACCCACATGTTATCGCAACATACAAAACCTTATCGAACCCTTCGGCCGCATTCTCTAATTCTCTCTTTCCAGCATTCCAGTCGTCCTCACAGGATTCAACCGACATCATAAGGGCAGGGTCACCTCCAGAAATAATGTACCTATAACATGGCCGCAAATTTTGTCCCTTTGCAAACTCGTTAAACTTTCTACTGATAAAAAATGCAATTCTCCCGGAAGTTCCGCAACCACTGAGAATAATTCCAGCATTTTTTGTGTCAGGTTTAACATACTGCACAGCGAGAGATGATACTTCCTGTACTACTGCTAAAATTTCTGAAGATAGCACATTTTGGTACCCTTCCCAGCCATTAAAAATTTCCAAATCGGATTTGTATAATAGTTTGACAATTTCTTCTGAATTCGCTCGGTCGATATCTTGAGTTATATTGTTGAATTGTTCTGTAATGGGAATTACATTTCCTTGCATTTTCTTGCGCTTTAAAATGGCTGAATTGCACAATATAATATAACCAGGGGGGGGGGGGATAACCCTGATTGTATTACATACGTCATTTTCACGCTTCGGTCAATCTTCGTGTGTTTTCGCGGGTGTTCGTGTTTGCAGGCTGGGTTGGGCACCAGTCCCTGCGAACTTCAACCTTGGCGCGGACGAAGGCCATATTGCTTTAAATCTTTGTAAAATAGCTTTATAAAAAGTGAGAATGTCGTCCAGACAAGTTGGGAAATACGTCGTAGATTGGGTGAAAATTGCTACTAGAGTTCCTCAGGCAGCCAGGGGCGAATTTTCTGGCTTTCGTTCAAGGCATGAAACTATAAAAACAAGGTACATATTTTTTGTATATATCTGTTGTGATCACAGGCGGCCCAGACGTGTATCAGTGTATAGTAAATATATCATGATTATAAAATATGCTAAACAATAAAATTTGTAATGAATTTATATTTTAAAATCACATTTACTTGCCTACTTTGATTGTATGTGATCGTCTTTTATTTCTGAGCGACTTTACATTCGATGCCTGCGACTGTCTTCATAGGTGATAGTATTGAAAGCAAAGGCTAACGATTCCAGTTCTCAAACAGCCGACACGAACAATTCAAATCGAAAAATATTCCCTTCAAATTGCTTTGTTCCCGGTAAAACTTCGCCAGCGTATAGAATAAACACCCATCTTCGAACATACAATGCAATATTAACACGTCCTATAATTTTTGCAATGGATTTTTAGCGAAATGTTTCGAGACTAAAATTCTATGGAACTTAGAAAGCCCGATAATTACTACGGCGCCTGCTTGGCCACCTAGCCTCCTTTACCGTTTGGATTGTCAAGGGGGGGATTCAAATAAAAAAACACCTATTTCCGGCAACAGCCAGCCAATCAACGCCGCGATACCGACTGTTTACAGTATTCGAAATCTGATATTGCAATTTATCAACAACAAAACTCTTTCGATCGTATACAGCTCTCTTTCTATCTTATACTATACGATCGATCGATCGAAATTGTTTTGTTGTTGATAAAT